CACAGCCACGTTACTTTTTATGGTCAACGTGCACGTATCTTGCCAGCTACTGTGGAGAGATGCACTTCTCAGCTGTCCATCTGGGTTCGGGTTTTCTTTTCTTTTTTTTCTTTTTTGTTCTTTTTTTTCTTTTTTCTTTTTTGCTTGCGTGGTTTGGTTTTGTCTGCATGTACTACAAGCTGGTAACAACAGGAATAACAGGGTAGAGTTAGCTAGGGACCGGGACACTCGGTCTTTTTTGGCCTGGGAAGGCGTAGAAAGAACAAGTTAGGGAGTGACAGCAATAGCGTTAGTGGTAGTTTACGGTAGGAGGGATGGTCTCATCCAGGGCACTCAGTTGTGTAGGGCCGCACTGTGCCGCCTAGGGGAGTGTGCTTGTAGTCGGACCGGGACCTCGGTCCGCTGAGCCGTGCTAGTAGTCCCAACAGTAGCCTTGGCAGTTATCGTCTGCTAGACGCCACTTCAATGGACGCTGCACTTATCACAAAAAGTGTTTCTCCTTTTATCTTAATTCAGATGTCACAGCTCCGATGTCACAGCTCTGGCACAGGTACTACGTTGTTTCACTCGAGCTGGCGTTGGCCAGTGTAGGTAAGTAGCGGAGCGTGATTCTCTTCTGAGTGAGGATTGAGTTTTAATATGTCAAGAATACTGATGTAGGAGATCAGTCGGAGGCGTGGAGCCAATCTCTTATGCGAAATTGGCTAATGCTGCCGGGATAACTCCGGGTAGAATTGTGAGGTCCCTGGCCTCGATTCGACTTGTTTTGATATGAATGATCAGTTTTGTTTATAAAAAGAAAGTGGTGTGTACACGTGCGGGGTGCTGCCGCCATCTCCACAGTGGAGGGCTGGAGATTAGAAGCACACTTAATTAGAACAGAACCTTCGTGGACTGGAGAACCGGCTTCGGGGAAGGAGATCTGGGCAGCGCGGTGAGGGGGCAATGCTATCACATTGCTATGGGTGTGGGGCTGAAGGAAGACGATGATACGACAAGAAGGGGAAGGACGAGGCCTAGCGGGGGTCAGGGGTAGAGAAGGCGTAGGGAAAAGGAAAGCCGCAAGACTACTGCGTATCAGAACCGTGGGGATAAAGTGATAAGAGTTTGGAATTTCTAATCTAGTCGCGTGGGAGTTTAAAACAGTGGCCGCTGAGTGGCGAGTGCCAGAGTGAGTTTAAAATTGCTAATCTAGTTTCGTGGGAGTTTAAAACAGTGGCGAGTGCACACGTGGGGGGGGGGGAGGAGAGAGAGAGAGAGAGAGAGAGAGAGAGAGAGAGAGAGAGAGAGAGAGAGAGAGAGAGAGAGAAGCACCCCTTTCCCCCTCCCCTTACCCCCCTGCACAATTTTTTTTTTTGTGTTTTTTTCACACTGGGGAGTAGCCCCTCACATACGCAACCCGCCCACCCCCTGAGATTGCTGAATTCCCCCTCTTAAGACCCCGGAAATTCCCTGGAATTGGCTCGTACGGCCATTTGAGCGGGCCGTACGTTTGGTCGTTCGAGCTGAATGACCCGTATTCGTACGGGCGTAAACGCAGCTGTAGCAGGTATCGCACCCGCTGGTGGGTGGAGCTCCCGCATGTAGCATTGCCGTGGCTGCTACACGGTGCCCCGGCGGATCGGCAAAACTTGGCGTGCAGGGGGTATCCCGGCTCGGCATCAATAGCTGGGTCAAGTACTGGTGGTTTAATGACAATAAAAAATGCCTGAAAGGCCATCCTGTCCGGATTTGACAGGTAATTGAATTGGTTGGGCTTACAAGAATTAGCCTTTTTAAAACCAAAATCAACAACAAGAAGGAAGGGTCCCTCGGGCCATCCGGTAGAACTGGAATGATACACAGAAGAGTAGCATGACCCCTGCGCAAGGATGACACACATAAATTGAGAAACACAAGGAAGCAATAAAAAATATTAGTGCGAGATTCTTTCATTATCCACTGGCCTGACCTTTCAGTTTCATCTATTTTAGGTTGCTTATTTAAAGTTATTTTTGGCCATGTGCCATGTGGCTTGAACTGGCTTCACGTCCTGGCAGGATGAAAAAGGAGAAATGGCCTTCGCCACGGTGCGGCCACACCAGTTACCAAATGTGCGAACTGAGAATGAATCTTCCGGTAGTACGTGGAAAGATGAACTACAATAACAATGTCTTGTGTCAAGTTGTGTGCATTTGTGAGCGCTGTGGCGTGCAAAACGGGAATGAGTCTTTCGTAGTTCGTGGAAAGATGCACCATAACAATTTGTCTTTTGTGCATTTGCTGAGTGGTGGCGGCGTGACCCACCTGCTCAGATTTCCATGTAGAATCTCCTCCTCCTCCTCTGTTTTCGATTTTTGAAGTTTTCTTCCTCCTTTTTTTGGTCTGGTTGGAGAGTGAAACTGCCTACCTCTGACTCTCAGAGGGTATACTCACACTGTAGGACCTCTTTTTTTATGCAACTATGCAGCGAAAGAAAGCAACTTGAAGTTGAACTTCAGATTAATACTACGGTCCTGGGCAATTCCGAAGTGCAAATTCACAAGGAAGTATAATGTCGTCCAATTGCAAAAAGAAATGAATGAAATTGAGAGAGGAGAGAGACCAAAGAAGAAGAAGAACTTCAAGAAGAAGAAGAAGAAGAAGAAGAAGAAGAAGAAAGTACACCAGCAAAAGACCAATGACAATTCCCTCTTCTCTCGCCAACCGACTCCTCCTTATCTAAGCCCTCTCTTATTCAAACAGTAAATACTAGTAATAACGATGAATGGCTGAACCAGAATCCATGTCCGAATCCCTCTTCTACTGCTGGGGAGGAGTTTACTATGTTCAATGTAGTGAACTTTGTGGTACCAATCATGCCTTCTTGCCTATTGTAGTGGAAGCTGTCTCTTTCAATGATTATGTTTCTTGGGTGTCTAATAAATTAGACTAAAAAACGAAGGAGCGAAGCAATGAGTATGAGTTCTCAAAAGCATCCTTATCATTTAGTTGATCCAAGTCCATGACAAGAGGTCCACCAAGCCATGGCCTCCCTCTTCTCTCTCTTCGACCCCGGCTAT